TAGGTTTAACACCCAACTTCCCTATTTCTTACGACAAATCAAGAACATACTTTCTTTGGGAAACAAAAATCCCATGTTTAGACTGAGCTACCTAAATACCCAAGAAATATCGTATCTCTCCCAAGTCTTTTACCTCAAACTCTTGATGAAGGAGTTGCTTAAGAGACTCAATCTCACAGGTATCACTCCCTGTCACAACAATATCATCCACATATACAACAAACAGTGTTAAGGATGAATCCATTTTCTTAATAAATGGAGTATGATTTGACTGGGCCTGCACATAGCCAAATTTTTCTAGAGCTTGTCTGGATCTATCAAACCAGGCTCTAGGAGATTGTTTTAGTCCATATAAGGCTTTATTTAGCCAGCAAACCTTCTTTCCTATTTCTGCAATATAAAAACCAGGAGGCAACTGCATGTAAACTTCTTCTTGCAAGTCTCTATTGAGGAAGGCATTTTTAACATCCATCTAAAGAAAAGGCCATGAGTAACTGGATGCAAGAGATAATAAAACTCTGATAGTGGTCATCTTTGCTATTGGTGCAAAAGTCTCCAAGTAGTCTATGCCACATGTTTGAGTAAATCCCTTTACAACTAATCTGGCCTTGTACTTTTCAATGGAACCATCAACATTATGCTTCACAGTAAACACCCATCTACATCCAACCGGCTTCTTCCCTTTAGGTTGATCAACTAGCTCCCGTGTATTGTTCTCCAGAAGGGCATTCATTTCTATCTTCATTGCATCCTTCCACTCAGGTACTGATAAGGCTTCCTGCACTGTTTTGGGAATGGGAATAGCAACAATGGATGCCAAAAAGGACTTGTAAGATGGAGACAAATGATCATAAGACAAGAACTGGGAAATGCAGTGAGGTATATGAGGTACAACGGCGTTTGCCTTTACGGACTGCAATGGGAAGGTCAAGGTCATCCAATGGAGGTGAAGGCTCAACAAGAGGGGGTGAAGACTCAACAATGGAAGGTATCTCATCTGTAATGGAAGATAAAGGAATTGTAGTACCTGGATCTGGATCCGCAGAAGGAATTGGGGCTGGCCTGGACTGCTGATGACCGAAATCAACCTGCCTCCACCATCTGTGATAAACTCTCAAATCCCAGCACCTCTGACAACCATCCCCACTACACTCCTCTTCAGTGATTGGGACATGTAATGGAACTTATGATAAATGAACCTCATTACTCTCCCCCTGAGAAGAAACCCTAGGATAATAAGGTACATCCTCAAAGAAAGTGACATCCATAGAGACAAACCTCCTCCCTGAGTTTGTGCATAACCAAGGAAACCCATTCTACTGAGGTGTATGAGGACATGTACTTTGATGAATAGTCCCATGGTCAAGGAAATACGATTTCGACCCCAAACTGTGTTAAAATCATCTGATGGAAGATCCATGTTAAGGTAGGAACCTCATCTCGAGAACGTATAAGGTAAGCCTAAGAAAAGTGGGTATAGTCATCAACAAACAACAAGAAATATCTGTACCCCCCCCCAGCAGTGATGTGATAAGGTACCCAAACATCGGTATGCACAATTTCAAAAGAAATACTACTTTTATTACTCAATGAATAGGTTGTTTTACAATGCTTTGCAAGCTCACAACTTTCACATTTCAAATTGGACATTTGGAGAGACTCAAACAAACTAGGAAACAAACTTTTTTAAGACCTAAAAGATAAATGACCCAACTGATTATGCCAAAGCATAACCTGATCAACAGACTGAGAAACAAAAGACCTCCTAGCTTCACCATCTTCCCCATGTGAGCTCCCTCCAAGCAGATAGATTCCATTCGTCTCATGGCCAATCCCAATCATGTTCTTTGTCTCCAAATCCTGAAAAACACATCAATCAGGGAAAAATGTTACCGAGCAATTTTGGGTTTTAGTAATGCTACTAATTAAAAGCAAATTAGTGCTAAGTTTAGGAACATGTAAAACTGAAGACAAAGAAATGGCATTAGACAACTTGATGTTTCCCTTGCCAGAAATGGGAACAAGAGGGCCATCAACAATAGACACTTTGTCTCTGCCAAAGGATAAGTGATAGGTAGTAAACAGTGAGGACAAACCAGTCATATGATCAATTACACTTGAATCCGTCACCCAACAAGGTTCAATGTTACCTGGGCTGAAGCATGATAAGCTGAGGCCCGTGTACTTGAATGAGCAAAAGTTGAAGTGGGAGGAGCAGATGTTGTGACTAACGGATGAGATAATGGTGCTGAATTACTAACTTCACCCTCCAACTGAGTCAGAGCAGCCTGGACAACAGCTAAGGTATCTAGGGATGTGGCTCTTGTGCCTAATGAGGTTGCACAATCAGTAGTAACAACCACATTGGCATTTCCCCTTTCGTTTCTGAGTTTTGCTGGAACTAGATGTGGATGTAACTTCCAACAGGTGTCTTTAGTATGTTTAGGTTTCTTGTAATGTTCACATTATTAGGTCCCTCTTATCTTCCTTTTTCATATCCCTCTCCTTATCACCCTAAAATTTGGTTTAACTATTGCTAAGGCTGATGCTGCAACATAACCTTTCTCCTACTGTCTTCACTGTGCACTAAGGAGTAGGCTTGTGATAAGGTCATACTTTCTCTTGTGAGAAGTTGTTGTCTCACAATATCATATTCAGAATTCAGACCGACTAGGAATTCAAACACCCTATTAGTTTCAACTTACTTTCTGTAAGTTTGTGTATCCTTCTAACTTTCCCACTCAATTGTTTTTAGGTGGTCAATTTCATGCCATAAGGATTTCAAGGTTGAGAAGTAAACTGAGATCAGTTTCTCTCCTTGCTTAAGATTATTAACTTCACATTTCGGCTCATAAGCCCTACCAACATTAAGGGGTTGGGAGTAGGTCTCTTTCATGATGTCCCAAATTTCCTTAGCTGTTTTTGCCCACAAGTAGTTTCGGCTGATGTGTGGCTGCATGGAGTTGCACAGCCATGTCATAACCAAATAGTTCTCCTGAACCCATTTGGCATAGGTTGGGTCCTCCTTAGTTGGTTCCTTTATATCCCCCAACAAATAATTGGTTCCCTCTACCCCCAATGGCCATCATGGCTGATTGGGCCCACTCCAAGTAATTTGATCCATCAAACTTGATAGTGGTAATCTAAAAGTTGTTATTAGGCATGCTACTAGAACTACCAGCCCCCAAAAAACCTCCCCCTTGATTTTTAAACTCCATTGCTGCCAGCCCTTCTTAATTTATAGGTCAAAAAACCCCTTTTTAGAACTGAAATAGGTGAAATTACACCCAAAGTTTACTTGACAGTTAACCTAGAAGGTTTGGCCACCACTCAGAAAAGATGAATCAGATTTGTTAGTTTTCTAGAAAGCAGAAAACTCACTCTTGAATGCTGAAACTGGTCTAATTATTGCCTTAGAATTGGCAACAATCATAAACTTTAGGGTTTCAATCCTAGAACTGATCGTAGGTCAAGAAAGAAACCCTAAAATCTCAGGAGAGAACTAAAGATCCTCCAGCCGCACCTCCCAGATTGATAAAAAGAATGTCCTTTAAGGTTTGATCTCAAGAAAAGATGTCAACTTATTCAGAAAGGTCTAGCCGCCACCTTCAAACCAAGGTCTGAACCCTAAAACTGAGATTTCTTCCCTTCTGCTGATTCTTCCTGATTGCTGAACACTCACCAAGGCCCTACAAACCTTTGGGCATCAATTGCATACTGCCAGCAACCTCCAAGAACCAGCCGATGAACATATCTCTGCTGAAACTTCCAACCCTAGGAAGTTCTCATGTAGTCGGCCTGATTAGACTAGCATAAGAATTCCTAGGTTGGTTCTGATACCAAGTAGTCGAATAGGACTGCAATCAGTCCTAGATACAATGTGAAATAAATAAAGAAAAGATTGAGAAAGAAAGAAGAAGACGAAGAGAAGATGAGAAGGAGAACTCGAAGAGAAGAATTCAGAAAAGAGAGAGAGAGTTGACTATCTTGTTGCCCCACTCTACAATTTATATTAATACTCAAATAAAAGGTGAAAGGGCTGAATTGCCCTTACTGCTTACATGGCAAAAGAAATAAATAAAAAGAACTAATAAAACTACCAATTGAAACTGCTAACTGAAACTAACTATAATCATAAACTAACGAACACAGTGGGGACCACATTACTGTTCTCTACAAGTGGCAAGTAGCTCCTCAAGAAAGAACAAGGTGTATATGACTTGGGCAGCCCTTCCTGAAGTTTTTATGAAATTAAATTTTGATGGCAGCAGCCAAGGTAACCCAGGCCCCTCTGGAATGGGAGGGATTATAATGAATGAAAGTGGTAATGTGGTCCTATTGGTGAGGGGGACTCCTCTAGGGCAGAATTACTAGCTGCCTTCCAGGGGGTACAATTTGCAGTACAGTTAGGAGTGCAACAGCTACTAATAGAAGGTGACTCTAAGGTGGTGGTGGGGTGGTTGCAGAACCCGGAGAATGTAATCTGGTGTTACAAAAATGAACTGAAAAAATTCAAGTGGCTGACCAGGAATATATGTGTAAGGATACAATGGGTGGGGAGATCAGCAAATGCTATGGCTGACAGCTTAGCCAAGCAAGGGGCAAATAGGGAACAATTTTACTAGGCACATTTGTAATTTGTCTTTCTATTTAGTCTGTTGGGAGGGGTTGCAGCTCGTGCCTCTCTCTAAACAGTTTTATCTTTTTATCTCTTTTTAATAAAATCTTCTTATTCATCAAAAAAATAGGATGGAAATTCTCAGAAGTCTTATTTTTTTTTCCTCTTTTTTATCGGAGAGATCTATTGTATTTATCTTTGATTGACAATATTTTGGAAATCTCTGATATTTTCTGAAGTAACTTTGCTTATGGAGAAGTTAGGTTATACATGCCCACAATACTTAAGCTTTTCTATGCTTTTCTTGTGCAACCAGTTGACTGCATACTGAACTGTAATGCATGCCTGTTGAATTTAAACATTAGCTCTTACTGATTCTTAGGAAGCCATGGAGGTCTTGGTTGCTTGCTCTGCAAGGGATCTGGTGAAATCTGAAGAGCCAAAGGAGGTAGCCAAATCCCAAGACAAGTCATGGGTTAAATGGAAACGCGGAGGTATTATTGGGGCAGCTGCAATAACTGGAGGGACCTTGTTGGCAATCACTGGTGGTATGGCATAATCACATCCCCCCTTTTCCTCTGCAACTTAGTTTCTGACAACTTGTTTTTTTTTTTTTAAATCTTTCACCTTGTATTGCATTCTTTTAACAGGTTTAGCTGCTCCAGCAATTGCTGCGGGCTTTGGTGCTTTGGCTCCTACATTGGGATCTCTTGTACCTGTGATTGGAGCAAGTGGATTTGCTGCTGCAGCAACTGCTGCAGGGTCAGTTGCTGGTTCTGTTGCTGTTGCTGCATCGCTTGGAGGTAAATAAATGGTTTATAAATGTTTGGTTTTCTCTTGACGACTTTTATGTTTTACATGGAACTTTCTACATTGGAAATGGCTGAAGGCAAGACAGAGTATGTATTCACAGAGATTCTACAAGTTTTATGGTCAGTTTTTGTAGGCTAGTATACACTACCTACCTCATGATTTTGTTCTTTCTACGTCAAGTTTCCCCTGGAATCACCCCCCACTCCCCACACACATGCAAAAAAAAAAAAAAAAGAAAAAAATCAACCTATAAACTCTTTCTCTCCCTGTTAATACAAATACCAACCAACTCAAACAATCAATTATTACCATGGGGGATAAGATCCTTGATAATGGATATAGTTCTATATTTCTTTTTGATCAATAACAGAAACAATTCCATTAATTAAGGAGTACGATGGGTACAAGAAAAGAAAGGGGGAGTGATAAACTCTCTTAGCCCTCCCCACCCTTCACCCCAACAGAAATTTTTATTACAACATAGCGCAAAAGAAACTATCCCTTCCCACCGTTTAGCAAGTGTGTCAGCAAAGGCATTGACATCCCTTCTCACCCATTTGACTTCACCTCCACCCCCCTGTAGCAATCTCATGACTTTTCTCTTCTGAAAGATATAGTACCATCATCCAGCCTCCTCCATGAGCTTCGAACCACCCTCAATGAGAAACTTTCTGATATTCATCTTTTTAGCCTTTTGGATGCCTTCCACAACAGCCATAATTTCAGCCCCCAATGAATCATCTATTCCAATTGGTCCAGAATAGATTGCAATGACTTCTCCTTCCTCATCTCTGAAGATTCCTCCTATACCAGATGGACCCGGATATCTTCACTGCTGCCATCAAATATGAGCTTGAGGAAGCCTTGAGATGGAAGGGAGGAAAGAGGCCTAATAATCTTCAATTGATATAATTCTATGCTGAAGCCCTTCTCTAGCTAGTCCTTGTGCTTTACCTTTGCAGATCTACAGACCACTGAAATGATTTCTGTAAATTTTGGTAAAGGATTTTTTTTCTCTTATTTGATGCTAGAATCTCTGAGATCCATAATCTCATTTCTTACTATCCTATTATGACGTGACTCCTGATTGTATCATACTATAATGCCAGAAAAATCCTAAAGAAAGCTTAGTCCAAGACCCTGTAGAAAGGATTGTAGCTCTGCCCTTGTAGAATCTCCTATCCTTACAAGACTACAAAACAGCAACAGGATGTGCTGATGGTGATTTTTGAATACCCCCTCCAATTTTAGAGTCACCGGGTTTGCTGAAACTTTTTTTTCTTGATCAGCCTGGTGTTCTGAAACTTTAACCATCATAGTTTAGATCCACTGGGGGTGGATTCCAGAAAGAGGTCACGACTGCAAACCTGTCAAAATGTCATTGCTGCTGAGCATAGAGAACTCTGTTCTTGATCTAATCCAGTGAACTGTCATGAGAGAAATAAGCTCCATCAAGCCTTCTATGATTTTCTTTTTGTCAAAATATTTTTTTATTCCTTTCTTCATATATTGACTAAAGGATGGTGTACCTCATATATTGCCAAAGGATTTTCTCCTCTGTTTTTTTTTTTTTTTTTTTTTATCAGCAACTCTAGAAACTTTATTAATATTAAGGAACAAAAAGGTACAAAAAGAAGTTGTTAGGGCAAAGACTCTTTACATCAAAATCCCCCCACACAATTAATATTGAGCCCAAAACAAATGCTGCCTATGAATTCTTTGCTTAGCTAATCCATCTGCCAACCCATTAGCAGACCTCCTAACCCATCTTATATGGATTTGCATATTTCTTGATATTATCTTGAATCTTCTGAAATCATTTCTGAATTGCCATAGAACATCTTCATTTTTCAACCAGCTAACGACTACTTTTGAGTCCCCTTTAACAATCAGCCTTGTAATTCCCATATCTTTAGCTTTTTGCACCCCAACAATAGCAGCCATAAATTCCGCTCTCATTGAGTCACCTTGATCATTAGGTCCTGAGTACAAACCACATATATTCCCATTCTCATCTCTAAACACTCCACCAATTCCGGAAGGCCCTGTATTGCCAAAACTACTTCCATCAAAGTTCATCTTCATCCACCCTCCACTTGGGGGGCACCAGGGCTCCAAGACCTTATGATTCCTAGAGGAAGAAAGGGCAATTGACCTCCAGTTCCAGAAGAAGTCATCCATTGAGAAGTCTTGGAATACTTTCAGTGTTTTCACCTAGTGAGCTGCTCTTACAGTAACAATCTCCACTATTGCCTCCTTATTTCTTTCTCTCTCTTCAAAGATTCTTAAGTTCCTTTCCTTCCAAACTGACCATAGCACCACTAGGATTTTTTCCTCCCAATCTGATACACCCATTGATACCCAAACTGACCATACCACCACAGCTGATACGCCTCACGCCTCGCGTCATGCCTCCGCGTTTTAAAACATTGATAGCAACTGGCCCACTAATCTCTGATACCTTCCAACATCCTTCTCTAGCTCACCTTTTGAAGCATTTATCCTGTGGTTCTGATCAATGGGTGTATCAGCTGCCCTTGCCCCAAGTTTTCCTGTCTCTTGTAGTAAGTCCAAAACATACTTCCTTTGTGAGATGAAGATCCCATGCTTGGATCTTGCCACATCAAGTTCTTCTTTAAGGTATCAATCTCACTCAAATCATTTCCTGTGACTACAATGTCATCCACATACACTATCAAAACCAACACCAGTGATCCCCTCCTTTTCACAGAATATGATCAGATTGAGTTTGAGTATAGCTAAATGCAACCAATGCACTTCTAAATCTCTCAAACCGAACTCTGGGTGATTGTTTCAAACCATATAAAGACTTCTTTAATCTACATACCTTTCCTTTAGCCACATCGCTATAAAAACCAATTGGAAGATCCATAGACACCTCTTGCAGGTTACCATTAAGAAAAGCATTCTTCACATCAAGTTGGAAGAGGGGCCAAGAGTATGTAGTTGCAAGTGATAGGAGAATCCGGACTGAACTCATCTTTGCCACTGGTGCAAAAGTCTCCAAGTAATCTATGCCATAATTCTGAGCGTACCCTTTTGCAACCAGCCTTGCCTTGTACCTTTCTATACTTTCGTCAGCCTTGTACTTCACTCATACTTTTCAAGGTGCCAAGGTGAGGCTAGGTGGCCATGGGGTGCCCAGGCGCCTAGGCGATGGAATTTAAAAATAAGAAGCCAATGGATTTCTACCTCTTCTAAACTAGTTTTTTTTTTGGTTTTATGTATTCTATGCTTTTGTGCTTGTGTTTCTTGTAGTGTTACTTAATGAGAACATGTATTAAAATAAAAGAAGAAAATGAAGAAGAAAAGTAGGGGGTGGAGCCCCTATTCTAGACCTAGAAAAGCTAGTGAAAAGATATTAAAACAAAAGAAGCAATGTGAAGAAGAAAAGAAGAGGCGAAGCCCCTGTTTCAGACACCAATGCTGAGAACAAAAAAGAGCTGGAAAAATACAAGAAATTAAGAACAAAAGAAGGGGGTGGAGCTCTTATTCTAGACCTAGAAAAGTTGGTGAAAAAAATGCTAAAATAAAAGAAGAATATGAAGAATAAAAGAAGGGGCAGAGCCTCTGTTTCAGACACATAATGAGAGAAAAAAAAGCTGAAAACACGCAAAAAAATTAAGAACAAAAGAAGGTGGCGGAACCCCTGTTTTAATCCAATAAAATGATTCAAAAAACTTGGGGAAGAGATACAAAATGAAGAACTGTGGGGGAACGATGGAGGGCTGTTGTTCTCTCCTCTTCCTCTTCCTTGATTCTTTTGTCAAAGTGAAACCCCTCAAAGATTATTTTGTTTTTACTTTCGTCACAACAAAACCTGATAACATGCAACAAGTTCTATTATAAAGACTAAAACCAACCAATAAAATATTATATATTTTATATATATTTTTATTTAATAAATATTATATATTATATATGTGTTTCAGTCCCCTAAGCATGCGCCTAACATATTTTTTCTTGGCGTTTGGGCGAGGCGCTCTTTGAAAAGCGCCTAGTCGCCTAGGCGTCGCCTTGACAACTATGACTTCACTATATAAACCCATCTACATCCGACTGTCTGCTTGCCATCAGGTAATCCACAATCTCCCATGTCTGAATTTTAATCAATGCTTTCATTTTCTCTTGCATAGTTGTCTTCCACTTAGGTTTGGAGAGAGCCTCACTAACATTCCTGGATATAGACACAAAGTCGAGGGAGAAAAGGAATGTCCAATAGGAAGGAGATAATCCACTATAGGAAAGATAGTGTGAGATGCAATGAGTAGTACTCTCTTACCTTTTCGGGTGCAAGGGCCGTACCTGGATCATTTAGGCACCAAACCATCAGTACATTTCCTCTTCCCTTTTTAGTAGTGGTATCAATAGGAACTAAACCATCAAAGGAAGCAAGGGTGTACCTAGATCTGTGTTAGTCGATTATGGAATCTCCAATGAGTCGAAAGGGAATGACGTGGGTTCCTTTGCATCAACCTCCCTGTGTTGTCATGTAAAACACTAAGAGGCAGGATACAATGGAGGTGGCAAAGTGGGTGGAGTAGGTGGGTCAGACACTAGAGTGGACAAAGGAGCTAGAATAGGAAGTAGTGTAGATTGCTCACTTCCTTCCCCAAAACACTCCCCCTGAGAAGAACCCCTTGAGAAAAAGGGCGTGGACTCAAAAAAGGTGACATCCATAGAAACATACCGACTCTCGGAGACTGGATCATAACAACAATACCCCTTGATTTCCTGCATACCCAAGGAAGACACACTTCTTCGCCTTAGGGTCCAACTTTAAGCAATGAGAACTAAGAACATGGACAAAGCATACACATCCAAAAACCCTTAGAGGAATATGGAACATCTCCCCCTCAAGAAAAAGAAGGCTGCACGGAGTGCTATATCCAAGAACATAAGAGGATACTCGATTAATGAAAAAAATTGCTGTAAGAATTGCATCACCCCAAAAATGAGTTGGAACTAC